GCTTCTCCACAGCAATCTCCCTCCTCCACTTGAGCTCCATCTCCTATCACATGTTCGGCTACAAACATCAGAGGGTTAATCCAGTGATGAGTATGGCATTCCCATGACAGTCACCTCTCCAGAATTTTCTTCATTCTGTCAAGGTGACAACTGGCACAAGTATCAATACAGTCCCAGAGCTTTTACAGCTTAAGAATGTACTTGCATGTTATAAAGCACAGCTGGCCAGTAGTTGTGGCAGAAGTGTTATTATTTACACTCATCTGTTTTGTCTTTTAATACTCACTGCCCGAGGACCAGTTCTGTACATCAGGCCAGGTGCTGAGGATATAGTTACTTACTGCCTTCATGGATGCAGAATGGTAGCAAGTCCTGATGCCTAATGGTTCTTCTGACTGCTTCTGTCTGCATCTCAGGTTTCATTTTATAATCTTTTACCTCTGTAGAAATTCTGAAACACCATGCATACTGTTGTTTTGATATTAATCAATTAATTAATTTCCCATTTAGTTCTACAAAGGTTATGAAGTAGCTTATCAAAAATGCAGATATAACACAATTAAAAGAGTATCAAACAATGGAAACAACAGCATTTAGGAAAAGGGAAGCAGAGTATACATATCCTGTCGCAAAGGCCATTAGAACCATGAACACGGTGCTTCACCTGACCACTAAGATAACAGGAAGACAAGCAAGGAGGCAAAGGAATTTTAAGAAAACCTTTAAGGAAGGAAGTCAGTTTCACAGGAGAAATCTGCATTTTTCTGGGTCTAAGCGTTGTAAGAAATGTGCCAATGGGTCCTCACATAAGAAGTACTAAGTATTTTATTAAGTATGAGAAATAGGCATATTCAGAATGCTCTTCTGTGAGTGAAAACAGGAAGGTATCTATTAGATTATTAAGGGTCAGAAGGGGGGAAAGAGAGAGAGAGAGAGAGAGAGAGAGAGAGAGAGAGAGAGAGAGAAGAGAGAAAGAGACAGAGACAGAGACAGAGACAGACATAGAGTAGCACAAGTTCCCCAAGTACTATTCTGATGTGATGGTTATTTGAAAACAAAAAAAAGCATGTGAAAGATTTATTAGGGTGGTAGTAATCTCATGGATCAGTACAGTGTTGTTTACTGTCCCAAATTATTGGTAACAGGGTCAGAAACCCTGGCAGGAAAATACTTTCCCGAGAGCATTCGCTGCTACATGACTGCCACCCCATTCTCTCTGTCTCATATTTCTTTCTCTCTGCATGGTGTAGGGAGGGCTAACCCTAGCCCTCATGGGCCCTGATAGGCTGAAGAAGATATCACACCGGGAAGGTAAATGGGAGAACCTTCTAACCACAGCCCTTTCTCAAATTCTGAACTGGGATGGTTCCATCTTATAGTCAGAAGACAAGGAAGTTGATGATGTTGGGATGATGCTGACAACGATGAACACTGTCTTGGGTACCATGGGGCGATGGGTAGGCCTCATGGGACAGATGGCATTGAACCAGACCCTGATGAAAACTGTGGGTGGCAGAGGGCATCTTCCAGAATATTCTTACAGAATATGGTAAGAAAGTTCATGAAGGCTGGGTGGTGTATGGAGGCGTGGATACCACTCTAAGAAATTTGAAGTCTGGACAAGGTGGAAATGAAGAACCATGACTGGAGGGCAGTTAACAACAGCACCTTCTTTTGTTTAGCACAGGGATTGAACCCAGCACCTCAAACATGCTTAGGCAAGAGCTCTTCCACTGAGTGTTACTCCCCAAGCCTTTGACATATTTTGAGACACGATTTTGCTAAATTGTCCAGGCTGGCCTCAAACTTCCAGTCCTTCTGCCTCAGCCTCCTCGTAAGTTCCTGGCTTTACAGGCATGTGTCACCATGCCCAGCTTTCTTATGTTTTAAGAGAGAATTTCTGCCAACAGATCAAAGTTGTGTGGTTTAAAATAATAGCCATTAGTCACACCTAGTAGCTGACCATTTGAAATCTGGGTAGTCCGAGTTGGAATGTGCTGTAAATAAATGCACATTATTATTTTGAAGACAGCCCCAAAATATTTTAAAATGCCTCAATATTTTTATGTTGATGACAAGTTAAAATTTTTTGATAAATTCAATTCAGTAAAATAAAAACTAACTTCTGAGCTATTCAGCTTCTTGTTGCTTAGACACCATACTTGATGCTGACACTTTAAAGGAGGCAAGTTTTAATTTGGCTCGGTTTCAAGAAACTCAGTCCATGTTCAGCTACGCCCAAGGCAGGAATGTCATGGGGCAAGGCATATTGTGAGCACCGAACAAGGGGACAGTGCCAGAGAGGAAAGGCCAAGAAACAGTACAGAGGACCCAAGATCACACCTCCATAACCCACCCAGATAGACCCGAGAGGGTGCTTAATAGATCTGCTAGGTATTTTCTTAATCCAATGGAGCAGATATGTCAGGATTAATGGTCACAATTTCATTGGTTTCTTTTTACTTTTTTAATGAAGCTACTAGAAAAATGAAAATTTCCCCTGTGGCTCACATCATCTATTTATTAGACAGTGGATGTTGGCTTGACAGATGGAAGAACTGAAGACCAGAAAAGGACTAGAAGCTGTCACACAGCCTTTGACCAGAGATGGTGCATTCCAGAGGGAGGGCCACAACTGTGAGGTGCACAGGGGAGGACATGGGGAAGGCTTTTGAAGGAGGACTGGACTATTTGCCCATCACTTTCAATCCCTGAAATGGGATTAGGAAAGGTCAGGCTCAAGATGGCATGCTGAGTGTCTAGTATGGGTGACTGAAATGTCGGGCTTGACTTCTAGGCTTGATGCACTCAGGTTGCAGCATGGGTATGTGCATTGCTATGGCAGAAGGTGGTTCGTTCCTGCCAAAACTCATGCTGAGGCTCAGTTCCCCAGGGTAAAGGTTCGGTGTGGTGGGACCTTTATGGGAAACAACTGGATCATGGGACCCAACCCAATCTGGGAGCAGATTAAAGGCACTATGCCAGAGTTTCAGCACTTGTGGACCTAGATCAGTGACTGAACTGTGGGCCGCTGCAAAGCCTGACAATCACCTTCCACGTCTTTCTTGTACTTTCCCCATGTGACTGATATTTTCATACTTTTGAGACAAGGTCAGGCTGGCTGCCCTTGAACTCACAGCAGTCCTCCTACCTCAGCCTCCCAAGTGCTGGGATTACAGGCATGTGACACCATTCCTGGGCTCATCTGCTATGCTGACAAAGCATGAGACCCTCACCACAGGTCTTGAATTTCCCTGCCTCCAGAACTGTGGGCTACATAAATTTGTTTTCTTTATAACTTACCCAGCCTGAGGTATTTTGTTAGTGAGAGAAAACAGATGAAGCCACATCTATGTGTATGGAGCAGTGAGGAGTTGAGCAGTGAGGCTGAAGAGAGATGTAGTGGGGTTTTAGATTTAGCAGTTAACATCAAGGAGTGACCGGAGCAGAGAAACTGGGGGATCATGGAGGAGAGTAGAATGACAGCCTTACACAGAGAATTACACAAATGACAGAGGATACGGCTCAGAATTTATTATGTGCAGGAGAGAGAGTAACTGTGGAGAGTGCCTGAGGCCGGCCAGGGAAGATCAGGGACCCTGCACCATGGAGGCCACAGGGGACCTTTTCCAATGGGGCATGCTCACAGTGCAGGAAACAGACTGAGATAGACTGTGGGGAAGCCCCAGGTCCCCAGGTAGTGTCTGTTGGGGTGGGGCTCTGAGTCTACGCAGGTGGACATTAGAAGGCAAAAGCCGCAGAGGGAGGTGAGGGGGGCACTGCTGATGAGGAAGAAGCCACAGGTGTGAGGAGTGGTCTCTGGACAGCATTCAGACTAGAAAAGGTTTTTGGAGCCAAGGAGCCCGTGGGGTGGGAGTGGGGGCACAAAGAACCAGTGAGGGAGGGAAAGATCCAAAGGAGGAGGAGGAGGAGAAAGAAGAGAGCAAGAAGGGGAAGGGCGGGGAGTGTCAACAATTCATGGAGCAAGAGACCAAAAAAATGAACCGGCGCAGGAGCAGTGTGAAAACGTCACACCTGCAACGAGTCTTATACAACCCCCCCTCCCCCCACCAACCACAACTGCCTAAGACCCTGCGACAACCAGCCCTTCCACGGAATCCATCAGACAGGGCCTCTTTGGGTGGCAGGAGAGACCAGACCATTCCCACTGCTCTCTCCGGGTCCGTAGAGAACTGGACCACTCTCCCGAAGCCCGTGTCAGGAGACTGCTGTTGAGAGCCTCATCCTAAGGCCCCAGGACAGCCCGAGTGAGGCTCCTTACAGGGTGACATCTCCATTCAGAGCTCTGGGAAGGCTCAGAGAGAAGCCTTCACTTTCAAGCCCTGAGCTCCCAGCGCAGGCTGCAGCACCGGCCTCCTCCGATAGGGGCGCTGGGCGCCCGCGGATGGGGCCGCGTCCGCCTCTTCCTGCGTCCACCTGGACCCGCGGCCACGAAACTTTTCTGGGAACCGCTCGCCGCCCTCGGTCTTTGGAAGCCCACGAATGGCAGGACCCACTTGGTTCTGGGCTGGACGTGGTCCCTGGCCTATTTTTCAGTGCAAATTTCTCCTCTGTTCCCCAAGTCCATTCCGACTCCGGTGGGAATTGAATTCAGCAGGGCGAGGGCTCCGGCCCGCTGGTGGCCGCCCCGTCTGCGGCTAGGTCTCAGGAGCCCTCCACTCACTCCAGTCTCTTCTCTTTGGCCTCTTCTCTCTCCTTCTTTCTCATCAATCTCTTTCCCTGGCCATCTCTTCCTTTTGGCCTCTTCCCTTTACCCACCCTTCGTCTTGCGTTTCTTCTCCCCCTTCCTGTGCGCCCTCTTCCTCCCTCTGGATCCGGTTTACCCTCGCCTGCCATGGAGACCCTCTAAACCCGGGAGCAGGCAGGGGCCCCGCCACTCCTCTTCCTCGGCCTCCGCTGCTCCAGGAGGTCCTGGGGGCTCCCCCGCCCCGTCCCTGTGCCCACCAGGCCCTCCAGATTAACCCGGATCTTTAGCTCACCCATGGTCTCAGTCCCCGTGCGGTCACCGAGCTCCCCGGCTGCCCTCCGGCAGCGCAGCGGGCCCGCGGCCCTGGCAAGTCCGAGCTGCCCTGGGCTCAGCACCTTCCAACTGGCGGAGGCCACTTTTTAACAACGGAGTGCGTCCGGACACCGGTCTGGGGCAGCTCCAGGAGGGAGAGGGGTCTGGACCTCCCCGGCCAGAGCAGATGTTCTGTCACCCTCTTCCCACTTCTGGCCCCCTGCCCTGCTCCGCCAGCTCTATTTCCCGCCCCACGAGGATTAATCAGATTCCGTTGGCGGGCGGCGGGGGCCGTGGGGCCCAGGAAGAGAGGCCCTGCCTTTTTCTCCATATGCCTTTCTGACGACTCACAGGCTCCTGCAAACGCAGAGACAACCGGTGCGTGATCCGCGAGCGCCCACGGCCCGAGCGCACCCCGCCCCACCGCGCTCACACACAGGCACACATGCTCGTGCACACGCGCACGCAAAAAGCCGCGCGCCCCCGCGGCCCCAGCCGCCCCCCAACCGGCTCCTCCAGGTACCCCCGCCCCTGGTGCCTTCCAGCCGGCCTGCCCAGGCGCCCCCGCCCTCCCTTCGTCCCCGGGCTCGCACGCACGCGCACGCACGCACTCCTCGCGCCCCCGCACCAGGCGGGGGCAGAAGCCCGGAGGGGAGCGAGCGCCGAGTCGTGGGTCCATCCCGCGCCCGGCTGGTGCGCGCCGCCTCCCCACGCGCAGGCTCGGGGCTCCCGCTCGGCTTTCCTGACTCGCGCAGTCGGCGCCGAAGCGCTTCCCTTTGCCTCCTCCTCCGCCCCCAGGCCAGCGTAGCTCCCGGCGCGCGGTCTCCTGCGCCCCAGAACTGGCCAGAAGAGTAACCCCGCGCGGCGAGCAGCCGCTCCCAACTCCTCGCCGGAGGGAGCAGGCTAGAGGCTGGATTCCCGAGACTCGGGACTGGCCTGCGTTACTGGCCCCTCCTTTAGGATTCGGCTTGATTTTTGTATTTGAAGGAGGATTTTATTACCTTAGAACTCCTTTTTACAAAATTTCTGCAAGAGCTCCGTAGGGAAGATTTTGGGAGATCTTATTTTCACAACAAACAAACAAACAAACAAACAAAATACCGAAGGAGCATTCGTTAATTTTCCCTGGGTTTTGGAGTCCCCCCAGGAAGAGCGCGCGGACGAGAGCCGGCGGGGCGCGCCAGCCGGCGGAGCCCCCTCCCTGCTCCCGGCCCGACACGCTCGCTCGCCGGCGCGCGCACACCCCCTGCACCGGACCCGCACCTCCGCGGGCGCCACACACTCGGCAGCCCGAGCCGCGTTCGCCGCAGCGGGATGGAGGCGGCGCGTACGGAGCGCCCCACTGGCTGGACGGGGGCGCCGCTCGCCCGGACCGGGCTCCTGCTCCTGTCGACGTGGGTTCTCGCGGGCGCCGAGATCACTTGGCGCACGACAGGCTGTCCGGGGCACCTCGGGGCTTCGGATTCGCGGCCACCGGCCCTTCCTCTTTTCTTGCCGCGGGCAGTGGTGAGCCAGTGGCCGGAGGAGCCAGCGACCGCGCAGAGAGCCGCCGCGCCAGAGCGCCTGCCAGGCGGTGAGATGCGTGCTGAAGCTGGGGAGACGTCGCCTCCGGGCGCACCGTGGAACCAGGGTGTCCCAGCACCTGGCAAGCTGGGCGGCGCGAGGAGGAGTCGCCGGGCGCAGCCCCCCAGCGCTTTGGAGCGCGGAGACACCCGGGCCACCGCAACGGCCGATGGCTCCAAAGGAAGCCGCCCTGTAGCCCAGGGTCCTCGGGAAGAGGTGCGCGCGACGCGGACTGGGAGCCTGGCTGCCGAGGAGCTCCGTCTGCCCAGCACCTCGTTCGCGCTGACCGGGGACTCAGCCCACAATCAAGCCATGGTGCACTGGTCCAGGCACAACAGCAGCGTGAGTACCCTCCCGCGGGGCGGCGGTCTGGCCGTGCCAGACTCCAGGGGGCCAGGAGGAGAGCGGAGGACACAGGTGCTGTTAGGTCCAGGTGAAGAGTGAGGGAATCTGGACTTTTAGTGAGGGGAGATTTGTCCGTTTCACCTATTCCCCCAACAGGTTAGCGGAGTTGCCATTATGATGGGTGTGTGTGTGTGTGTGTGTGTGTGTGTGTCCACAAGCACGAGTGTGTTTACTGGAGACCCCAGAACTGGGAGAGGGCCTGTGTCTAGAGATGGGTGGAGAGGCGCCCTCAGCCACTTCCCTCTTGGCTTGCAGAGTAAATTTTTCTGTTTCGGGGTGCTTGAATTGATGGGCAAAGACATGGGATGATGTGAGGAAAGAGCCGCTGGACAGATGGACAGATTCCTGCCCCTGGCGGGTCTTCCCTACCTCATGAACCCCGCGCACCCTCACGCAAGACGGGGCCACTCGGACTTTTACCAGCCGGGAGGGCCACTGTCACTCCGGGACGCACGGGCTGCCAGCCCCTCAGAGCTAGGCAGCTGCTCTGGAAGGCTGATAGAGAGGCAGCGGAAAAGTTTAAAGCGTGAAGCGCGATCAGTTCTCTCTCCGCACTGCTAGCTCCACGCATACACAAGCCCGCTTAAGTCTCCCGGCGGAAGACTGGCCACCACCGTCGCGTCCAGGGCCACTAGCGGCGCCAGGAGTGGAGTTGGGTCCCTATGCCAGCGGCGCACTTTACCTCTCTCCTCGCTCCACCGTCCACTGGACGCGGCCGTGCCGAGAGGTGGCGCCGCTGAGCCTGCTCCGGGTGTTGGGGTGCTCTGGACCCCGTGCCTTAGCCTCACAGGCCAAGCCTGGGGCAGCAGCAGAAGCCCCGCAGCGCGCGCTCCAGGGGCTGTCCCCACATCTCCACCTTGCCGCTGTGGGCATCTTAGTTAAGCAAAGGCTGGGGACCGGCTCCCAGCGTTTCCTGCACCCTACCGGGACGCCCCTACTTCAGGTGCTTTCCCTCCTTCTTGGCTCTGGCTGGGAGAGATCCTGGCGCGGGCAGAGAGCAGGGCTCCAGGGAGGGCGTGATGTCTGAGGGAGCAGCTTCGCCAAGCCCTTGGGGTGGGAAAGCCGCCCCGGTTTGTTTTTCTCTTCATGACGGGCGACTGGAAGGGTCTTCTTATGTGTGTGCCTTATTTCACGGAGCCTGGGGTGTCCCCGGGGTGGGTAGTGAATCTCAGAAGCAGAGCAGCAGAACCAGACTGCAGGTTCCTGGTTCTCAGTGACACATGACACAGGACACAGGATGGACAGCCCAGCCCGTGTGCCACATACTGGATTCCAGGGGTGTGTGAAGAACAGCTTTGGGGCAGCTCGCTGAGGCCTTCCTGGGCTCTCCTTGAAGACCCTCACAGCCTTGGGCTGGACAGTTGTATCGTGGAGGCTAACCAGGATAGATGACTGGACTTCCAAGTGCCTAGAGGATATGTGTGTGTGTGTTCTCTGATAATGAGGTTTGTGAATTTCAACTTCGTCTTACTTTGATAATTAGGAATTCTGTGTGCTCACTTTTTTACTAGGTGAGGAGGATGGAAGTAAAGGTATCCCAGGAGGAGAAGCAGAGAAGGGGAGGAGGGAGAGGAGCTGGCTTCACATATCTGGCTTTATCACTGTCACATTTGCACAAGGCAAATTCAGCTGGTCTGGGGGGTTTTCTTAGGTCTCTGCTTTTGTCATTCTTGAGTGTTGACAAAGTCCTCTGAGACTTCAGAGGGAAAAATGCTTCTGTTAAATAGTAGTTCATTGTGCCTGGCCCTCTCTCTCCCTCCACAGGCAGTTCAGCAGCAAAATAAGTGAGGGCAGCTTGGCTTGTGTCCAGGGTGCGGGGTAGTGGCCCTGGGGAACAAGGCCTGTGGGCTGGGCAGCAGGTGAATTGGGGTTGGTGGCCTTAGCAACAGCTGTGAGATCTGAGCCATCCATGAACATGCCCCAGGTCTCTTCAGCTGCTCCTAGCTGGCCACCACTGCTGCAGCAAGGGCAGGGCATGGCCTGTCCCCCTCCAGTAAGAAAGGGGCTGCTTCCTGAGCTTCTGAGAGAGACACCCTTGAAGGTCAGGTCTGGGATGCCCCTTCAGGCAGAGGGTGAAGCTCTCTGCGTGAGGCAGTACAGACACTCTCTGGAGAGCAAGTGGGAACCAGCCTCGGTGGGGTTCCCCGGGTGGATATGCTCTCCTTCCCTCCTAGACAGCAGCAAAAGAGGGTGAGGAGTGGCTGACCTGGATGATGAAGGTCCTTGCGTTGATATTTTGAAGTAGAGGGAAATTCCACAAAGTAGAGAACACGTGGGGCCTGTCACCAAGCCCTTATGACCCAGAAAGACAGTCCCCTCTGTTCTTCTGGCACCTGAAATGTTCCCGTGTCCCTCTCTCAGGAAGGCCCCCATTGGCAGGCTTAGTGCAGTTGGGCCTTGGTGAGTTTCAGTCCTGGCAGTCTCTTCGGAGGACAGGTAGATTTTAGTTCACTCATATAACTGAGAATGGAGCTCCGTGCTGGAGAGGTTACAGTTGGGAGTGTGGGCCTTGGAGGAGAGTCTGCACAGGACCCCATCCCACTGGTTCTGCCCATGGCTGAGGGCCTGAGAGGGCAGGAAATGGGTCGCAGCCAAACCTGGACAGTGTTGGTTATGGTCCGAGGACTGGGGCGGAAAGGCTGGGAGGGCCCAGGAGAAGATACTCAGCAGTGTTGGTTTACACCCCTGTCTCCAGCTGGGATCTTGATGATGGGTGGACCAGAGAGTGTCTCACACTCAGGAGGAGCCCAGGCTCCATGGCTTACGGGGAAACAACAAAACATATTACTCTGTCCTTTTGCTTCCTGTCTTGCCCAGTGAGTTGGCAGATGGCCCTTGAGGGGGGAGAGCTGTGAAGGCATAGCCCTCTTTTTCATGCCCCACTCTTCCTGATTAATCCTTGGTGGGCCCTCCATTCCTGCACCAAGGGGGCAATGCTGTGCCCTCCCTCACTTTGGCCTCTGTTTCTCCAGCAGCTCCTCTGGTGCTGGTTTGCAGGCTACTGCTCTTCAGTGTGTCTTCTAGGAAGGACTTGCTAGGTAGTTCTCATTTAGGGTGCCCACTGTTGCACCTCAAGAGGTGGAAATGGGAGGACCCTGGTCGTTTTCGCCTGCACATCTCTTCCTGGAGCAGGGTAGGAGGCAGAGCATGTAGATTCTGCAGGCAGGATTTCTACACTTCACTGAGGCAGCTGGACTGTGTTCTAAAATATTTACTCCTAATGTGCAAAATAGTGACAGATTTGATCGGATGAATTGTGTTTCACTCACTAAAGCATCTAATTGTGGCTCTCAAACAGATTTTTCAAGTAGCTTTTGGCCGGATTGCCTGGCCATTACCGTCCCTGCTCGTAGTCCTCTGTTACAATACCTTAATGCATTTTGCCTTCTTGGAGGCTTCATAAGGGAGCCTGCCACAAAAGCCATTCTTTAGGGGTTTGCCAAAAAAAGTCTGTGTTTAATTAATATCACAAGGAGAGTCGTCTCAGTTGAGATGTAGTTGGGAAGGCGCAGGATGTCAGAGCACTCCTTGCTCCCAGTCTGCTTCTGCAGAGGGTAGGGTGGGGGCAGGAGCAGCGGAGGGGCTGGGCCAGGCTGTGTGTCTGCTCTGCCTTGACTCTGGTGCCAGGCCAGGTTACAGCCTCTGATTCGCTCCTCCATCCTGCAGTGATTTCCAAGGTGAGCAGAAGTTGCAAAGTCTTTAATGGGAAGGCAAGAACTAATGATTACAGAAACACAGTGGTTGGAGCTGGTTGTGTGGTGTGTGAGGGAGGAGTGCTGGGAAGGGGCCTCTCCAGCTGTGTTTGGTGTAAGGGAAGTGGGTAGTGGGTCTGGTGGGATGAGGCATGGGAAGCTGTTGTTCTTGGAGGGATTCTGGGACTGGATGGCTTGAGTAATCCCGTAGGAAACAGAGAATCCCACAAAGCCAGACATGGGGATTAGAAGCTCTGTCTGAGACTGGAGGTTGATTCATGCCTGGGGACAGATGGGTAAGTCACCTGGTGCCTTGACTTTACTGTAGATTTCCTGCTTTTCACCTTCCTTTGGCCTGATACTTGGCTTGAAACATACTTTTTACAGGAAGAAAATGTTGGAGGAGGATTTGGAGCACGCTTGGGAACCATCTTGCGGAGGCAGAGGTGGACAGCACCAGTGCGAGTGCCCAGTGGCTGACTTGGTGCACGGCGGGACTCTGTGGGCTGAATGGAATTTGCTTGCTGTGTTTACTGCCCTGATGTGGGAGTGATTGGGTGGGGATCTGACTCCCTTCATAGTGAGTGGTGACAAAGCCACTTTGCCTTACACATACTAGGTGCTTAATAATGTTTGAGCAAGTGGGTAAATGGGTGATAGTCCTGTTTCATGGCACTTGGGCTGCAAAAGAATTGAAATCTTTGCCTGAGATAGAGACGATTTCCTGGTTCAATAGCTATGATTATAAAGAGCATTCCCTTAGTTTGTCTTTCATTTAGCGTGAGAGCCTTTGGCTTCTTGGATTCAAGCAGTTCTTTGACCTGGCATTCAAGGGCCTCCCTGTGTGTGTGCTCTGGGTCTCCTTCAACTCTGGGTTGGAGTGCTGTGTCTTGCACTGAAGGAGGACCGGGCTCTTCATTGTCCCAAACCCCTGCTGGACTCCAAGCCTTTGCTCTTGAGTTCTCCTGCTCTTGGGATTTCCTTCTTCCTCTATGAGGATGTGCATGTGAGTTGTGGCTCACATACAGGGCTCTGTGATGCCCTCCCTGCAGACATTCATTTCCTTTTTCCTTGTTGTCTGTGGAATTTATGGACTGCACCGCACATTCCATCATTTTAATCTCATACTTGGTTACTTTAATCTTATGTTGTTTAGTGTTTTGAGAGTGAGAGATGGGAGTAATTAAATCCTTCCGCCAACTGTGGGTTCTGCTCTTCTTACGTGTGCCCTTTTGCCCAAAGATG